CTTATGTGTAAGTTGAAACCATAAAAACATCGTAGTTTCGTTCTCGCACTTATCAAATAGGTTAGTGCCACTAAAATTAAACAAAATAAAAAACGTGACTCAGTTTACTTAATCGGAATCACCAGGATGGGATATGATACGAGAAGTGAGTGTCCAATTCCCTGACACAACATTTAAGACTTTCTTTGTAAAAGATTTATTAGTCAGAAACGAAGAAACCAAGAAATTTGTGGAATATAACAGCTGCACAATAAAATATGACATGCTTATTTATTCGTTATTGTGTGTTTATGCAAATGCGGTAGTCAAATTTATAAATTGGACAAAAATGATTTTTCATATTAGCAGAATGGAAAGACGACGCTTAATTAAACACAGGTATTTAAAAAAAGTATTCGGGAAAAACGGGTCAAATAAAAAGCATTCAATACATGAAGAAAATCAACAAGATAGTGAAGACGGTCTTGACGAAAGTAATTACTCTGATAAACCATTGTCTTCCAATGAAATTCCTGATGATTTGTTGAATGCCTGGAAAATTTTAAATTCTGCGATAAAACAATTTAAGAATTGGCGGATAGTGTTTGACTACATGTTTGAAGCGTTGTGTTTTTTAAAAGGACTGGTTTCGCAAGAATATTATGATTGGTTTTTACCTGAATTAATACACTTTGGTTCCTATGTGTCATATTATAAATATAAATACACGGACATAAAAGGAGTTTTATCCGATTATAACGGGGAAGACGATGATTGCTACAGAGATAAACTTAGCGAGTTAAGCAGAGTATTTTCCCGTTTTATCAATGAAACCCTTACGGAATCGTTGGATTTATTTGTAAACAACTATTGTATTATACCAGAGGACGATAAAGCACAGATCGTTGAACAAAAAGATGTATACCAAACTCTTTTCACGCCATATGGGCCGCGACATACAATAAAAGATAAATTTGAAGTTGTACAACAATTGGAGGGCAAAATTGATTCGCTTATAAAAGAAGTCACTCAAAATTACTTTAAAAATTTGGGTTTTGTATATACTCCTACCAAATAGAGAGTATTACAAATAAATTATACATACAGTAATAAAAAGGTAATATTAAAACTGTTTTCTTACATACAAAAGACATTATAATTAATTGTTACACTTTAATCTCAATGTAAATATATAATTATTCATTATTCTGTAATATCATGTTATAAATTATATATTAAAAAAAAATATTTATATATATATATTAATTTAGGAAAATCCAAACCGTTTTCGGTGTTTTTGCTTTTGTGTTCGGCTTGGTTTAGTCTGCGCTGGTTGGGTTTTTCTGTTTTTCTTTTGAAGAATATATCAAATCAAAGTTGACAGTTATAAAACCGATTTATTTTTTGGGTTTTTCCTAGTTTCTAAGGTGAAGGAGTTTAATAATCCATGCCTTTTAAACTGTAAAACATTAACCAACTTGAAGGCCATTTTGGTATTGAAAATAATTATTTAATTAATAAAACCAATTAAATTAATTGCTGTCATCTACAGGAAAATTTTTGTGAGGGTTAAGACATATTAGTTTGAAATATCATATTATCATTCTAAAACGTTTTATCTCATAAAGATAATTCTTGTGGGTTAAGCAATTATAGTTCTATGCGCCTCAAATGTAAAGTACCTAATATTTTTATTTAGCATTTAAATTATTAAATTCGACTTGAATCATTCACAAATCAAATTCAATATTGTGTGATTGAAATTATACATTATTTATTCATTATTAAATTTGTCGAGTTATTTGTATAGGACGTAAAGCAATCCAATTGTTGACAGGTTGGCTAACGTAATACGAATCTAAATTTTGTTTTGTCTATTTAACTTTGATTTATGCAATCTGTTGCAGTGCAGAACATTAAGCAAAATAGATGTAGTATTTACAAAGTTTGAATTGACAGAGTAATTTAAAAATATTATGTTAAATCGTACTTAAGAAGTATCTTATCACAAGACTTATTAGACGAATTGATGTCTTTCAAAAATATTGTATTTAACCGTTTTTTTGTTGTAAAGTAAAAATATGTTGAATAATATTCACTGTATCAATTGTTGGCACACAGCTACACCTTGTAGTGTACACAATGTTTGCACTAGCTCTTCTCAATAAAAACGAATAACAAATTACGATTTTATTTTATTGTGCATATGACTATCGGCTAATTTGAGTTTACTTTATGTAAACTCAAATAGAATTAATACTAATGATAAAGAGAATATTAATAACAATAAATAAAGAATTTACGATGTAGGTATCTTATGTTCTTATGCTATCACCTGTAAATATAATAAATATGTAACGCTAACGAAATTCATAAAATGTTTCATAACACTATGAAAAAATAATTGTACCTATGGTAAAATTTTGCTGTCTGTGTTAGCATTAGGACAAACAAAACGTGTTATAGTAACAATGTCAATCATAATAGTAAGTCAAAGAAAATGTGTTTTTTTTGTTAAAAAAAAAATAAGAAAATAGATTTAGGTATATGTAGTCTAATGTGTAAGTTAAAACCATTAACACATCTTAGTTTCATTCTTGCGTTTATCAATTAGGTTGGTGTCCCTAAAATTAAAAAAAAAAAATCGTGACACAGTTTACTTCATCATAAGAAAATGTTTTTCAACGTCTTTATAACTGTGTTGGTTTCAATTTGGTCATTTAACGATCGAACATATTATGTTTTTTGTGCCGAAGATCCCGAAACAATAACACACAGAATTAACGCACTTAATACGCTTTTGGAATCTCCAGGATGGGATATGATACGCGACTTCAGAGTCCCATTCCCTGACACAACATTTGAGTCTTTAAGTGATTTATTAGTCAGAAACGAAGAAACCAAGAAATTTGTAGAATATAATAGCTGCACAATAAAATATGACTGGCTTATTTATTCGTTATCGTGTGTTTATGCAAATGCGGTGGTCAAATTTATAAATTGGAAAAACGTCGCTTAAGCCAAAGCAAGTATAATCAACAACACATAAAGAAAATGAACAAGCTAATGAGGACGGTCTTGACAAAAGTAATTACATTGATAAACCATCTTTACCCAATGAAAATCTTGATGTTTGATTGAATGCCTAGAAAATGTTTAATTCTGCGATAAAACAACTTGAGAATAGTCGGTTAATGTTTGACTACATGTTTCAAGCGTTGCGGTTTTTAAAAGGTCTGGTTTCTCAAGAATATTATGATATGTTTTTACCAGAATTAATAGATTTTGGTTACACTGTGTCATATTTTGAAGATAGATCTACAGACATACAACGAGTTTTATCCGATTATACCGGGGAAGACGATGGTTGCTACAAAGATCAATTTAAAGAGTTTAGCAGACTATTTTTCCAATTTATCAATGCTACGCTTACGCAACCGTTGGTTTATTTTGTAACCGACTATTGTATCATACCAGAGAAAGATAAAGCACTGATCGTTAGAACAAGAAGATGTATCATGTGCAAAGTAACTTTTTTTACACAAAAAAAGGCGCAATATTCGATAAAAGACAAATTTAAAGTCGTACAACAAATGTAGGGCAAAATTAAACCGCTTATAAGAGAAGTCGCTCAAAATTACTTTACAAATTTGGGTTTCGTGCATACTTCCACCAACTAGAGAGCATTACAAAATACATTTTACATATAGTGACTTTTCACCTACATACAAAAGACATTATAAATAATTATTACACTTAAGTATTAATTTAAATTATATATATACTTTATATCAGGTTATGAATTATATAAAAAACAAATATATTTTTGTTTTTTTTTTTACTTTATAACTTTTTACTTACTAAATAGTTTTTTTAAAACAATCAATTAAAGAATAAGTAAGTAAATACGATAAGATTCCCTACTTATTTTCCTATACCGTGGATTATCTATGGTTTGATTACAATCAATGGACTCTAGTAATTTAATTTGTGCATGTAGTACATGTGAAATGTGGAATGTGATAGTAAAACTTTAAAGTGGACGATAATGATTAAAATATGTTGTTATTGTAAAAAAATGGCAAACCAGTACAACCCAAACCAAGCACAGTAGAAACCAGCTATTGTTGTAGTAGTTACAAAGAAACATAATAACACATCTGTGAATAACAATCCAAAAAAGTATATCTACTCAATGCAAAAATTGAAGTCAGCTAAGTTATTATATAGTATATTAATGTACTCAAAAAGATAAAGTATTTGTAGTGTTGTATAACTTTCAAATAAATCAAATAACAAATAAAATACAAATAAATTCCAATACTATTTTTAAAAAACAACCTGACATTAGTAGTTTAGACAATTATTGATAATCAATAAAACCCAACCAATAACGGCATCCTAGCAAATCTTAGCGAAATTGGAAACCACATTAAATTATTTATTAAAAAAACAATACCAGAAGCATCAACGTAGCACAGGCTCTGAGTGTCATGCTCCAATTTTGTTGTCTGAACGTTTTTCAATTTTAAAACTACACATTTATTATAAGTATCCCCAAATGTATTTAATTGAATGATGCGCGATAACGGTTATAATTAGCACTAATACATTTTCCCCGAGAGATGGAAAAATGAATACGCAATGTCAAAGTCAACAACAAACAGTTTGGCAATGTAGCCTTTCAACACAACAAGATCAAGCATGCCATCCGAATCGCCCACTTGATTTTCGTGAAGTTTTGCCAATTCAAGCAATACCACCTTTATCCGGATTTTGTTAGGTAGATCTAAATGTTTTAGCAAACCGAATACTCTTTTGGAACATATTTCCAGCATGTTCTTGATTCGGTCGATATTCGCCTTTGGATAATTTTCTTCATCGATACAATGAGCTGGATGGATAGGTTTGGTTAGGTTAGTAAGGTGGACTGGACAGATATTGGTGGACAAACGCGATAGAATTAAATCATTTTATCTTTGATCGACCACTAATAGGTATAATATTAAAAATATCTAATATCAAACTAATAAATTATAATACAGATAAACAATTATTGTACACCAACAGGAAAACACTTAACAAAAATTATAATATTATACACATTATGGATGTTATGTCTATTGCTTAACAAATCCAAGATAACATGTTACTTATTTTTCAAGAGCCGATATTTCAGGATAGCGTAAGTAGATATCTTCATTATCAGATACAAAACAACAATGTATGTGATGTTCGCCCAGTAACTGTCCTCGGCCATATCCACGTCCTTGAGTACGGCCAATGGAGATCTGTAGTGGCAATATTCCTTGAAATAAAGCGACGAAAATAATAATTATTCAAATAAAATAGTGTTTTTCAAAATTAATTATTTCTTATTGACGCTTTGCTTGTTTTTTTTGTTTATAAATAATTATTGTCTTCGTGCAGACTTACTCAATTAGGTAAGCAAATAAAGTCAAATAGTAAACAAATCGAGTAAGCCAATTGAGTGAATGAGTAATTAAATTACTCATTAACTGTATTTATTTACTCGATTTACAAACTGGATACATTTATTCAATTACCGAATTTATTTACTCATTTACTAGGTTTATTTACTTGTTTACTGGTTGTATTTGACAAAGTCTGTTAATATTTGTTTTGGGCGAGATTGTGTTAAGCGAGTAGTTTGTTGGTGTAAGGTATTTTTAATAACAGTAGCACGTAAATTAAAATAAAGTGTCGTGTACTTGAATAGGGCTCATGAGATATTTGGTAAAATATGTAATTATTGAACGAAGGAAGTATAATGTGTGTGTGACGGTATTAAAATAAATAGTCTTCCCCGATTCAACGATAACACTAAGTGTTCGTTGAGTATAGCAGTATGTAAAACCTTAACGAAGGTCATCAATCATCATCAAAAATAACGCTTTGTTTACTCGTTTACAAAAAATATATATTTATATTATATTTAATTTAAAAAATGGATTTATTTACTCGTTTTATCATTTTATTTACTAGCTTACTCTATTTAAAAACTAGATATATTTACTCATTTACTGAATTTATTTATTCATTCACCCATTTATAAGGTTTATTTACTCGTTTACAAACTAGATATATTTACTCATTTACTGAATTTATTTCCTCATTTACTCATTAACTGTATTTATTTACTTATTTAGTGAATTTATTTGCTCATTTACTGAATTTATTTACTCATTTACCCATTTATTTAACCGTTTACTGGTTGTATTTAACAAAGTCTATAAACATTATCGCGTTTCTACATATCTAGCTTGAGCTCAAAATTTCACGATTTTTTTTTCAAATTTTTATTTTTATTAATATTAAAATCTTTTCAAAGTAGATGACGAACGTCAAAGGGCAGTTGAAAAAAAAAATAAGGCAATCGTGAATTGAATAGCATAGTACGTAGTAGTGTAAACTGTACAAGGAAGATTGTCGTCCGCGGTCTTGTTGTTTTGGGTGAGACCGTGTAAAGCGAATCGTTGTGTGAAGTGTTCTTAATAACAGTAGCACGTCAATTAAAATAAAATGTCGTGCACTCGGGCAGGGCTCGTGAGATATTTGGTTAAATATGTAATTATTGAACGAAGGAAGTATAATATGTGTGACGGTATTAAAATAAGTAGTCTTTCCCGATTCAACGATAACACTATAAGTTGGTCCAATGACGATGATAATAATAATATGTAAAACCTTAACAAAGGTCACCATCTCGAATGTAGGTACATGGGTATACTCACTTCGGTACAAGGAGAAAATGGCCTGTCGAAACCGTAAACCGAATGGAATATGCCTTGCATAGATCGCTTGAGAAACGAATAATCGTACAGCCAACGGTAAACTTCTGATGTGTCTCGGATTCTCAAAAAAACGCCACTGAACATCACCCAAGGCAATAACAATATGTTAATCACGACGATTATTATCTATAAAGAACAAAAAAAAATTAACTAAAATTAAAAAAAAACGTTGTTAGGTATACTCTGTCTCGCGAGAGAACGGTGTACTGCGCAGACAACAGTGACGCGTTTTGGTATAGATGCTGTGCCATCGCTATACAGCTATTGGCGACCGATTTCAGGTGGGAATCCCGCCGTCAACAGAGGTACCCTCGTCGTAGTTAATGGACGGGCGGATGGTAAACTATGGCGAGGGTACCTCTGTTGACGGCGGGAATCCCACGTGAAATCTGCGGCCGTTCTCGCGTATAGCACTGTGTTCACCTCTCTATATGTGCTAAAATTTTAAAATCCACGGGTCGTGCTTACTATGAAATTGTCGAAAAGAACGCTGATGAACATTCCGAACGATTGCGAAAACAACGTGGTCACGTTAAACATGAGTAGAAACATCCAAAATCGAAAATACTCTTGCGGTTGTCCGGTCAGCGCGTAGATCAAAACGGTATAAATAGTTATGCTCAACACCTTGGAAATTGAAAATCATTTAAAATTGTATACAACTCGATTAAGACGGTAGTATTTGCATTTAGTTCTTACCTGCACGGGCAGATCTAGCAGTGTTATGCATACATAATATGGGCCCAGCGAATACCACCGGCTGAAGTATTCTCTTCTAACGATGAAGAGGTCCATGGGCACTAATATTAAAAGCAGTCTGTGTTTAACAAATGAACAATTTTGTCTGTTAACCTAACCCAATGTTATAATTAAATAATGTACTATTTGAGAACTTGTTGTTGTATGTTATTTACAGAAGGCAGCAAAATTGATTGTAATAAATTGTATTGTCCACTATGTTTATTATCATCTTTGGATATTCCAGCAAAATATGGTAATTATAATAGATACAAATACCATTCTGCCCTGCCCACCAAAGAAAGTTTTATTATTTAAGCGTGTACATTTAAATACATTTACACGGTAGACACTTAATAAGTAATTATGTATAGGTAGTTAATAATATTACCATGTAGGCAAATACCTAAATTATGCAGTTTCATTCCCCCCCCCCCCATAAATGTAATACAGGCTGATCGATTTAACGTAAAACACTAAATTTCTCTTAAAATAATGACAATTTTGTTGTTTTTCTTTTTGGAGATACTAAATTTCATTTATGTTTAACAACTTTCAAATTTTTTTCTTTAATTTTATTATCCTAGGAAACGAGCGGGATGCGTTGAATTGATCACCCTGTATACTCATAACATAATTATGTAAATATAGATTAAGACTCAACTGTGTATTACTATTATTATTATTGACTATCGCGTGTACAGTTATAACACTCACGTTTCATTGCCAGCGTGTAAACGGACGTGTAAACTACTTGTATCAACGTGAAATACAACATGGCTATGTTGTCCAGCGAATGTGACAGCTTTTGACCTATACCGTAGTAGGACAGTCCAAAAGCGCAGGCCAAAAACATGTGTACCAAAAAACGGGCGTTGACGAGGAACTAAATGAAAAAAAAAAACCAGTCCGGAATTGTAAATCTTAAAACAATATGTCTTTATGCGATAAAAAAACCCCTTTAAGTTATCCACTTAAAAAGTTTTCATTCGAAGGAAAACATTGCATCATAAATATGTTCTACTATGTACCCATTAGCGGGTTTATGTTTATTTTTCAGTCTCTTATCAGGGTCATTATCAGTTATCCTTTATCACTAAACGTTTATCAGCTGTTTCTTATCAACATCCGCAATCAGCTGTTTCTTATCACTTTCGAACAATTGATGACGCAATTCCAGATAGACCCCCACAGCCATAGACATATTCATACATTAAGTCAAAATACTTTTTTTTTAAAACATTGTTTTTAAAATAATGTAGCTCTATACTTTTATCTAAAAAAAAACAAAACAGTACCTATACTATTAATTATAGTATCTAATTAAAACCAAAAATAATTACTGCACACGGTGCTTCGGTCGAAATTCAGTAAAATACAATTTGGAGGTTGGTTTAACAATTAAAGCACAATTAAATATCTGTATAGGTTAAACCAGACTGCGTTTGACACCAACATGTTTGACATCTAATATGTTTACGTCCAACGAAAATTATGACATTATTAGCAATGTATTCAAGAAATTACTGCAAAGCAAACTTTTTCCTATGCTGTCTCATTGCTCTGTTAAAGATCCAAATTCAACCCTCGCCCCTCCCCTCAACCAAAAAAAAAAAAATCATATAAATCCGGACTCTAAATATAAATATTAAAATTGTAACATATAGAAGGTACCTTGTCCCTGGTGGCGATTAACAAAAGCCTTTGGATGAGCACACTGAATTGAGCGGTATAGTTCACCGGATGTGTTTCCACTGGAAACTCGGTGTATTTTTGCATTTTTTCCAGTCTTATGATTGATTCTTGTTTTCCTTTGTCGTCTGGTAGAATTTCATTTCCGCCGTTTCTCGCGTTCTCCACGAGCACGTCCACGTCGTTTCCAAACGATCCTCTGCTCACGTCGATCACTGAGCAGTACAAAATGATTTGTTTTGTTTAGCTTGTGCCCAATGTACAGCTACAATTGGTCGCCAGTCACAAGTTTTTTGCTAGACAATACTGTTATTGTCGAGACACATACTAGGATGGTTTAGGATGTGCCAATAAGATGGAATGAATCATCATGATGAATGGATCGAGATCGTTTTTGGACATGTTGATTTAAGATTGATTTAAGTGCAGACTCTGAACTGCAGAGGGACCCAATATTTGATCTCTGGTGGATAGAAAAAAGGATTTGACATCTAATTTGGTGGAAGGAATGTAGACCTTAAATAGTTCAACAAAACTGTTATGGCCTAACTACATCTGCTGGGTGTATAATATGTTTGAAACCCAACACAATCGAAACTGTTCTACACTTTATCCTATACAAATAAGGTCGACCAGCTGATTCTTTCTGAACTCGCTTATTTTTCTTCGGTCTAACTCGTCATTGAATCCATCTAAGTTTGACTCATTTTTCACTTGTATACACTAATTACCGGCTTCACCACACAACTTGCCATCTTCTTGTCGGGCGACACCCCCATTGCCTGGTGCCACTTCATCTAACAACACTCTTTGCACAACATATATCTTCTGTGTACACTTTTTAATTGGTCTACTAGGTCTTTAAGACTAACTCTCAATATATATATTCAATATTAAGCCTATTTTCTAAGTTCCCGCTTGTCAGTAATTACCATAGTCTGCCGGGTTGTGGTACAGCGGGCAATGGAGACCAAACGATTTCAAATGGTCGATCAGTCTGGACGGAGTGCCGTTGTACATGCACTGTCCTGTGGTAGTGAGAACGTACAAGGAATCGAATAACGCCAGATTGGAAGCCGACAGTTGGTGTATGGTGCAAACTATTGTCTTGTCTGAATCGGCCAAACATCTCATGGCTGACACCACTTGGTTGGTGGAAACCACGTCCAGCCCTCTAAGTAAATGAATAAATAAGTGAAATAATATTGAAAATAAATACAATTTTTGATTGTCCATTACGTTGTGGGTTCGTCGAGGAACATTGCTTTTGGGTTACTTATCAGCTCTAAAGCAATGGACAATCGTTTCCGTTCGCCTCCAGACAAATTCTTCTCCATCGTATGTCTTGTCTCGTACAGTGTCAAGTTGTTTAGAATTTCTTTTATCTGTCAATGTTTTATTTTTATTTTTCAATAATAACACAATTGATAGTGATATATTTTAGTGTCAAAATACCGATCTAGACAAATGAGAATTAGTCGAAGCCTACACAACATGGATACTAACATGGTTAGGTTGGGTAACGGTATTTTTTCTATAAAACAATTGTTTTAAATAAATTCATTGTTATAAATTTAATATTCAAACGAAAAACATTATTTTAAGGGGTAATATTAAGGGCTGACTTTTAAAAGTCTTTACTAATGGACTGGTACTTCTTTTCTCGCTTAAACATTATATGCTAAAAACTCAAAAAATATTTATTCAAAACTTGTTGTTGACCTAACCTGACCTAACCTAATATTATAGTTTTGTAGTTTTTTTTACGTTTAAAACTAAAATGGTAACGTACGTGTTTAATTGACTTTTTTAATAGTTTGCTGACAATTTTGACTGGTCGATAACCAGTTTCGGATAATTATTTTTGAAGTTATTAAAGTTTGAAATTTATGGAGTGAAGTATTAATTAGATCTACGTGAACTACTTTCCGTCTTAAACTCTCAATTTTGATAACTCTAAAAGTAACGATCTTAAACCAGTTATCGATTTTCAGGAAATTACTTTTAATAAATTTACAAAGTTATTATCGTTGTAGAAAATACCAAAAAAAACATGTAAATGTTTAAAATTGTTTACAATATTGTGAAATATTACAGAACACGAGGTTGCTCACACGTTATACAGCTGATCCACTTTAGATAAAGTTATCCATTAATTTAATCTTAAGATAATTGCAATTTTATAGTTTTTTTTTATCGTTTTCGTTCATGTTAATTTACAGCACTAAAACAAATTTTAAACATTTACTAACGCAATGCATATCATTCCAGTTTAAGTATTAAAAACACTGCATTCAATTTTTTTTAAACATTTACCAAAAACATACGATTTATTTAGATTATTTAACATATTTTTAATAGTTAGAAGATATGGTATCACAACTTAACTGGAAATGTTTTTTTTTTATAAAATTTATAACGTGTAACGAAACTCGTCAAAATAATGAGTCTACGTACTTACCAAAATTCGCTTGCGATCATCGATTTCGGCGCAAGAGTGCACAAGCCTTACGACGAATTCCATGGACTCCTGGACGGTAAGCAGCGGCTGCAACATGTCGTCTTGCATAACGTAGCTGATGCGCTTGCAGAACGACGCGGGACGCAGTTTGGCGTTGCCGTTGAACGCGATCGCGCCGCTGTAGCCGCCGGGTCTTGATCAACAACAATACATTGTAACAACAATAAAACTTAGGTACACCCAAATGCGCGTTCACCTGTATCCCGACAGAATGTTCAACAACGTCGATTTGCCGGACCCCGAACATCCCAGTATGGCCACCAATCGGTTCCGCCGGAAATGGCCGCTGACTTTATTCAAAATCACTTTGTTTTCTGTATAAATGTTGAAAAAAATAACATATTATATAAAAATCAATCGTGTACTTACTCACCGGTCTTAAACGGGCCAGTCCGCACCTTAACCGCGTAGAATATGTCTGAAAATTCTATGTCGATTCCTCGCGGGTGTTCCGCCGTCGCAGTAAGCGTCATTGTCGTTCGGGGGGCAACGTCCGCGCGCAACCACTTCGAGTGCGGTAGTACACAGCCGGCGCGTAACGTTCGACCGCGTACAGTAAGTCATAATATTATTATTATTGTCACCCTACTCTTTTCGGTAAGGTCGCGACTGTCCGGGAATTTGCTCGTGCGACTAGGCTAGTGGCTAATCCGGACAGTACAGTGGGGACGGTTAGGTCACAAGTCTACAGACAACTGAAAGTGATTGTATCACTTTCAAATTGTGTACACGTTGTAGTTCCATTCTAGATCTACTTTCGGTGTAATTTTCACACTTGAATCCATAAAACTTTGCTGGAAAGAGAGTGTTATGAACCCCTGAATATAATTATAATATGTTTGCTGATGGTGTTGGCCACGACCGAGTCGAATGGAATTCGCTGACTTAGGGATTTTGTCAATTTTTCCACCGGTTTTTAGACTGTAAATAAAATACTTTAATCTATATAGAAATGTTCAATTTGTTTTCGATTATTCCCAGCGAAATGCCAATAAATACATTATGTCTGTCCGGTTATGTGTTCAATTCTAATAACATCTCTCTCTCTCTCTCCACAAAACTTGATGATGACCTAACCTTCTAGGCTATAATACACGTGTATCCAACACAAATCTGGCTAAATTAATTTAAAAAACAAAAAAAAGATCATTGAATTTGTTTACATTAATTTATTATACGACGCACTTGAAGGTATTTCCAAGGTCGATTGCATCTGATCTACAATACATTTGGACAAGACAAATGCATATTATATGTAAATAGTGTAAACTATATTTTAAATTGATTTTTTTTTAAAATATTAAAAAAAAAAAAATTATATGTTTTCTTTTTAAAAATGCATTTTATATTTTCATACATTTGAATAATTTCTGTAAGGTACTTTTCATACAAGTACAATCGTTTATTTGTTACCTAACCTGGCCTTTTTTTTTTTTGTTGAAAATATTTTGTTGTCTTAACTTAGAACAATAAAATGACACGCTTTAACCATTTGTTTAGGCTATAAATGAAGCCTACGTTACATCTATAATACACTCCGAACTCGGAAATAGATCTATTCCGACTGTGGATCAACTACAATGGGACATTCACCGAAGATGAAATTGAAGAAATGGACCTATGTAACCTACCCACCTATTGTCCGCGGTGGTTTTCTCCAAATGCCTAAGAACAATGAACGTACAATAATATTATACTCATTATAATACCCTAATAACATCAGGCAATTAGCATAGACATATTAACAACAGCCGGTCATTAACAATCACTTTAGATAACGAATCGGAATGTGTTAATTAATAATACATGGCAATAACTACTGCTGTATTTAAATCAAATAGTAATTTAATTTTTCTGTAAAAAAATAATACAAAAATGTCATAGATTTGCACTAAAAAAAAAATGCATTTCAATTGGTTATTTATTATGTAAATAAAAATCGCCCTGCGGTGTATTTCTCAATAGTTAAAAATATTATACACCGTTCAAACTTTCTCCATTGAGACTTATTCGTACAAGTTATACAATATATACATTCGATTAAGATTAACAATAAAAAAGTATAAATAAGTGTCACACGTTAACCATCGACACAACTGCTAAAAAATCTTTGGGCACAGAAGACAACGCTTTGTGTAATATACAATAAGCAATATCAATTTTTGTTCGTTTCCACTAAATTTTGGACATTTTCCACTGCCAAAAGGAAAATTCTAAAACAGTCGATGAACACAATACGAAGTTTTTATTATTTAAAATTTTATAAACAAAACACAGTCGGGATGGACTTGTGTGTGGTAATGAAAAATTGTATAAATTATTTTTATCCGTCTTTAAAAGTTGTTTACATGGCTAAATTCGTTTATATTTCAGTCAATGTGTTATGTAACGTGATATTTTGTTTTTTCAATAGGAATTACCGTATAGTATATTACCGTAACTCGACGATAGGGCAAAACATTTATAATACAATAAAAAAAACAGTAGTACATTTCATTTTTGTTAGTGCGCTTAATGTTGTAATATTTATAATTAAAGCTAATTAAATAAAAAAAAAAAAAATAATAAAGAAAACATTGGATTCCTTAAAGGTACTTATAGGAGAGTCAGTCGTATCGGTCGGTTGTGGATAGACTTGTTTTGCAATAATTTCACCGCACTTAACGCTTCTTGAGGGCTCCTCAAATTCACTCTGGCTTCGCCGGTCGGCTTGCCGAAGTCGTTGAACCGCCTAATGACGTTCTGGCTGTTGAGGTCGAATCCCTCGAAGAAGTCCACTATTTCTTGCACGTCGGCACGGTACGGTACATTGTCTAACGCGACCACGCAGCCAGGCTGTCCGAAACCGTCTGGACCGGAAGTCGGGCCTGGACCCGGCGCCCGCATGCGCGGCGTGTACGGATGGCCCATGTTGCCTCTGTTGTTCATGTACTGCGGTCGGTTCATGTAAGGAGGTCCGCCGTTATGGTTGTGGTACGGCGGTGGCGGTCCTCCTTGCGGTGCCATCATGTTGTGGCGCGGTCCACCGGCGCCGACTCGCATTCCCCACGGTCCCTCCTGCATGGGTTTGGTGATGGCCTGCATCATATCGGACCTGCTGATTATGGTGACCGACACGGCGTTGGGTCCCATGAAACACTGGTTTTTGGCGGCGGCGGCGGCGTGGGCCTGTTGGACGTGGCCGAACTCGCAGTACGACTCGCCGGTCGGTCGGCCGGACTTGTTGAGCATTATGTGTATCTTGTCGGGCAACACGGACACGTCGGCGAAGAACTGAGTGATGTCCAGGTTGGTGACGGTAGTGGGCAACCCGGACAAGTACAGGCAGTTGGAATGCATTTTCGGCGGGTGCCGTGAGTTGTGATGGTGGCCGTAGCTGTTGTTGTCGTGCGACTTGTGTTGCGGAGGAGGAGGGACCGATTTGCGTTTGCCCTGCCGGCGTTTCTCTTTTTCGGCACACCGCAACAGCGGCACGGGCGAAAAGCCCAAAAGAACGCAGTCGTGCCGTTTCAACGTGCTCTCGGCCGCGTCCACGTTTGTGAATTCCAGTATGGCACCCAGGAACTGATCTTCGGGGAACATGTCGATGGTGAGCAACGAGTCCACGTTGATCACCGAGCGGATTTCGTCTTCTGTGACGGTGATGGGCACCTGACTGAGCTTCAGGTATCTGCTTGGCGTGTTCGACTGAGAGTGGCCGGCGTCGTTATTGGTGTCGTCCTTGGACGGCGTCTCGCACACGATCAAATCGTCGCTGTCGTCTAGGTCGTCGCCGTCGATGATCATCACGTCTGGTTGGTCGTCTTCGGACACCGTCTTGGACGGGCCACCCTTGCCGGGGTAAGGTCTGTTGTCGGTGTTCTCTTTCTCGTACGCCTCGTCGTCCAGATGCTTGACGGTGATTTGGCTGCCCTTGTACGTCGTGCCGTTCAACTTCATCGCCACGTTCTTGTTGTAGTTGTCGTCGAACTTGACGAACGCAACGCCCTGCTTGTGTTTTTGGATCTTGATGGCCGAACCGTCGATATGTATGCCGTCGAACAGCTTCCTGATGTCGCCGTAAGAGAAAGGATTGGACATATTGTTCACTTCTACGCACAGCCCGTCGATTTTGGGGAGTTGTTGTTGTTGAAGAGGCGACGTCTGTTCCTGTTGTTGAGCGGAGTTGCGCACGTCGTACCTGTACCGGTCGTTGAACCGCGTCGGCCGTTTGGTGTCGTTGTTGAAGTTGTCACCGTCATTGGGCCCGTTGAACCTCTGTTCCCTGTCGTCGAACACCTGCTGTGGCGGACGATGATCCTGGTTGAACCTGGAAGCGGGCGGACCGCCACCACCGCCGCCGTACGGCGGACGATTCATCTGCTGCGTCTGCGGTCCCTGCCCGAATCTAGGGCCTCGGTTTTGCATGCCAACCGGCGGCTGAGGCGGTTGGGGCTGCTGCTGCTGCTGTTCGTTGTGGTAGTCGTTACGTCTTTGTTGGAGCGGCGCGTCGTTGTAACGACGGTTGAATTTGTTGTTGCCATAGTCGCCGCCTCTCGGTGGACGACCCATTGTTTCAGGACCGTTGGACTGACGGCCGTCGTACGGGCCACCGGTAGTGCCGCCGTTGAAGTCGCCGGAGAACGGTTGATAAGTGGCCGGCGAAATGGACGGAGGTTGAGGCGTCCTAAACTGTCCGTACGCGTTAGGCTGCTGGTTGCGGTTGTCGGCCGCGTTGTTGTTAGGGTGACCACCGCCGCCAATATTGGACAAACCAACGTTGGACCTGCTGTCGGGATTGGCTTGGTTGCCGCCATCGTAATGGCACGCCCAAGGTTTGACGGGCTGCTGCTGTATGTCGTCCTTTTTGTCTTTGGCCGGCGACCTGGATCTCTGGGTTTTACCGCTACCCCTACTCGACGAATCCCTGCCGCTGCGGTGTCTGTCCCTGGACCTGTCCCTTCCCCTGCTCCGATCTCTCCTCCTCCGATCCCTAGACCTGGATCTATCCCGTCTGCTGCCGCCACTGCGAGTCGACTTGGATCGGCGTTCCCTGGATTTCGACCTCGTCCGATCGCGTCTCCTGTCGTGATCCCTCAGCGGACTGCCCGATTTCTGTGGTTCCATCGCGTCACGATTAGGCATCATCTGTTGCGGATGTTGCATGATCACTTGTTGGGGCATTACGGGTTGTTGGGGCTGAGGCAACACCTGTGAGAAACACAAAAAACCGGACGTTAAAACCAAACTGTAACAACCGAAAGGGAGAGACAGAAAATATCAGCTGACATAATCATGTCTTTCCTTCAATGCAAGTTTGTTATTATTATTTTTTTTTGGAAAACAAATAAAAACTCCCACGGGCTTTCTACAATATTTTAATAGACACCTTGGTCGTTTTGTCAAAAACCGTGCCTTATGTTGTTTCTCAAAGGACTTGATTCATTTACCTTGGCGGTTAACGGAGGCACGGCCATCATTGGATGTTGAGCCGGCATTTGCATGATGGATTGTAAATTCAAAGCTTGTTGACGAGCGGTTTCAATGACTTTTTGCATTTCGTTCCGGGAGCTCAACAGCAGTTTTACTTTGACTTCTTTAATACAACCGCCGTCGGCCAGCATCGCTTGTCTGGCATCTTCGTCGGTACTGAAAAAGAAAAGTTTTTGCTACTATTCTTTTTGACAATCCTAACGTAACGTTGTTTTTAAATGGAATCGAAAGGAGGAGAGATGGCGGTGAGACTAGGTGGAAAGAGACAACGGGTGTCCTGTGTGACAACAATAAGGTGTCATTTAGAAACAAAGAAAATGCAATGCAAACGAGAACAAAAAAGTAGCTGGAATGAGAATGTTGTATAACAGCAGTAGTCTATTTACCTAAACGCGATGAAGGCATCGCCTTGTTCGCCGCCAACGATATGAACCCCACCTTCTGGTATCGACAACCCTTGGAAGTATTGTCTAATATCGGCAGCGCTTGCTGCCCAAGGCAGATTCTGTAGTCTAATGATCACACTCATTTCTGTAAAAAAAAAAAAACCATACATTTAATATCATTTTACCAAAGACAGATAATAATGTTGGAGGGGATGGAGATAACGTGACCGTCAGAGAAGGGCGGATGGAAGGGGGTTAGACAAAAGACACCCCCCTCGTGTAGGTTAAGGCAGAGTTGATACATCTATTGAAAAGTTCTAGTTTATTTTCCAGATTGGACATAATTTCAAAAGATGAGCGCGTTTCAATTCTGCCTTATTAAAGTGGTATGCTTTCCTAAATAGATTCAAGGTGCACATATATATATATATATATATACATCGGTTTTTAAAAACACAATAATTATTGTTGAATTGTATCTATTTCGCCTATCCAGCATTGAGATGATGGAATGTATTTTTGGAAAACGTCCACGAAAAATTATAACGTTTATAATAATTTTTAAAAAAAATAGCTTTTTTAGAGTTAAGGTACAAAAACGCGACACGTGTATTAAACAAGAGTTATTTTTTTAACTGAAATACTAAAAAGTTGTTTATCGGTTAATTAAAATTGTTTTATTTCTTGATATTTTGGTTCTAAGCAATCAAATCTTAACGTTTTTTATCATCTATATTTTGTTAAATATATACATGTATAAGTTCTCCGTTTAAAAAACGGCCATATATTTTATAATAAACCATAAAAAATAACAACGTATTAAGCAGATTACTAATTTTGAACTACAATAACTAAAGATAGGTCCTCGACAGAGACAACGAATTATTTCCAGTCTTTATGCTTTGTAGTAAGAGAATCGCTACCACTTTTCCCAAATTGCCAATGTCTATGACAAATCATAAATCTCTTATTTATCGACTGTCACAATTTATAATCTTAAATTTTTTTTTTAAGAAAATCACCTTAACAAAACACGACTTGTTGGAACTTATATACCTATAAAAAAAAACGCGAGGTGGAGGGTAGGTTTTCATAATGCGAGACGTGAGTTTAAAACTAGGTACTACTATGCCAGTTAAAAGAATAATAATCGCTGAATCCTCTAAATTGTATATTATAATGTCAATTTCATAAAATTGTATTTTATTACAAATTTAACTGATATATTTTTGTTGTTTTAAAGATATTGTCGTTATTCTGATATTATCGTTTTAACGTTATAAATCACATGAAACAACAGTGGTTTGTCAGTTTAATTTTTTTGTAATAATAGGAGGTACCAATTGTCTTAAACTATTTCTATAGCGATTATGTCACAAAATTCTGATACCAAAGTTATACAGCAATCGATTAAAAATGACATACTCGTAAGAACCACCATTCTTTTTTTAGAAGTGATTGACTGTTTAACGGTATATTCCGCCGTGGAATTTTCGGTCATTCCAAAATCAAGTTGAAGTTGCTTATGAGCAATATAATATGTAATTTAACAAAACGTACTTGATACATTAACTTTAACAAAAAACAAGTAGAGATTAACACAATGAACTAAGTAGGTAAACAAAAAACGTGTTTGGAAAAATTTAAAGGTTTAACGCTAAACTGTAATCGAGAAAATACAAGATGGGTACACAAGTAAAATATTATATTCATAACATTACTCAATAACCATACCGACCGAATTGTTATATATTAGCTACCTACCTGTAAACGACAAACAGCAGAAAAAAGAAAATTTCAAAGATGTTTTCTTAGGATAATTAAAATATATATATTATAGGTTAGACTTATGTTAAATTTTATTTATATTTATATTTAGTATACACTTATTTTCATAATTCAAATAAAAACTCCCTAAAAAACCGAACCTAATAATTTTCTTGTTAAGACATATTGTTCACTTTTTGACAGGTTTATGATTCGTATAACTAAGAAAAATATAAGTAATTGCTTTTTTTTCTTAAATAACCTTTTTAACAACAGCTTTTTCATATTAATAATGTAGCGTTTGTCTTATAACGTTTATTATCACTTATTTAATATATATTACTATCCTCATAACATAGTTAGGTCGACCATACTATACTTTACATTCGTCGATTCTATTTCTTTCCTGGAATAAAAAAACCTATAAAATGGATCTACACATTTTGATTCCTGAATCCGGTTCCAAAAAAAAAGTTTAAACTTCTCAGTGCAGTGTTTGTAGGTAAAGACTAATGACATACGAAGTAAGAACTTTATTATTATTTCTATTTCTTAACCAACAAAATCGAATAAAAGAATGCAATTCACTTCCTTCTTTTCTAGCGAAGAAAGTTGACAGACAGTTTAAAATTTCCCTTACAAAGAGCTGTCGGGCCAGCAGGTAAAATACCTGCCAGTTGGATTTTATATTTTATTTGATGTATATTGTGGCTATTTTTTAGATGTGCAATTACTTAATTTTTGCCTCTCGTTGATATAGGAATGAGTGTAAAGGGCAAAATAATGATTGGAACAATGGAGAAGTGAGCTTACAGTTATATATTAATGTGTCAAAAACAAGTATATCCATAGAGCAAATTTAATGGGGAGAGGAGGAATTCATCCTTTTTAAAATAATATGCTTTTATTACAAAAGTGATTTTTTAAATTAATAGTCATAGAAGGGTTTTTTTTTTGTTGGCTAAAGATTTTAAACGTAACCATTAAGAGAAAATTGCTTAATTTTTCATTTTAAAATTATTTAAAAAAATTAATAACGCCCTACATTTTAGTGCAATTGTGTCAAGTACGAAATTATATATTATACAGTGATTTTTTTTATCATGAACCACTCAATATCACATAGAGTTTATTAAGAAGTTAAATTGTTTTCTTCATATTGTTGTTATACAACGTGATCATCTTAACTTTTCACAATTTGTTTTTACCCCCCACCCAATTTAGTTTTTTTGATGGCAACTTTTGAAACTTAAATGGTAACGTAAATATTTTATTAACTTTTTAAGTTGAGAATAATGTACTTAAAATTTTGACTCGTCGATAACCAGTTTCGGATAACTATTTTTAAAGTTAAGATGGGAGGGGAAGTGCAGTTGGAAGCATGCGGATAAAAATAATACTACACTCCACCTTTCCTCCTGCCCTAAACTTGAAACTTTAATAACTTCAAAAATAGTTATCCGAAACTGGTTATCGACCAGTCAAAATTTTTAGTACATTATTCGCAACTTAAAAAGTTAATAAAATATATACGTTACCATTTAAGTTTCATAAGTTGCTATCAAAAAAACTAAGTAAAACTATAAAACTAAGTTGGGAGGGAGGTAAAAACAAAAAAAGATTTTAAAAATTGAGATCAAATTGTATAAAAATAATATGAAAAAAAAATAAAATTTTTTTATTAAACCCTATGAGATAATGAGTGGTTTATGATAAAAAAATCACCCTGTCTATTTTTTTTTTTTTTTTTTTTACAAAATTTGTTTCAATTTGGGACTAACCAGCTTAAAACTAAAAATAAATTGTACAATGTATTGCCAAGTCAGTTTTTCGAGTTTGACGTCAAACGTTTTGCATTTATTTTTTTGCACTTAAAAATGTTTAATTGTTTAACTTTATAACAGGAACTATTTTTGGAACAAATGTACTTTACCGGGCACCCTTTTTTTTCGATTTTTTTTTCTTTTAATCGATAGTACGTTTAATGCTGATGAAATTTTGCCGGACGAACTTAGTTTCGGAGTTACAGACGTTTGAAGTTCGCAATTTCGGGCGGCCGCGCACTGCGCAACGACCTGGCTACAGCCGGGTCGACTACCTGCTACCGGCCGCCGTGGTCGTTTTTTACGCGCGGCGAGATCCCAAAATAGTACTATTTCCAGTTTACGTTTTTATTGCATTATTATGATTATTATTATTATTATTATTATTATGATTATGATTATGATTATTATTAGTCTGTAACTCCGAAAGTAAGTGCGAACGGAAAAAAATTAATTTGCAAAAGTTTATCAGCATTAAAAGTACTATCAATTAAAAAAAAAAATCGAAAAAAAAAAAGGGTGCCCGGTAAACTAGATTTATACCAAATATAGTATAAATATTAATATTCTACTTGATTTAACTTAAAATCGCTAATAAGGACGGCAGGTCAACGAGTATTTTGGCACTCGCTCGGCGCCGTCGCTTCGCTCCGCTAAACTAAAAATATCCTAGGTTTGCAGGCTACAGTCTAGGAGGAGGTCACAGGTTTAAATTTAAGTAAATCATGGTATGGTATTAATATCTACAAGGTATTACGGCAAAAAAAAAAAAAAAGACCACGGCGGCCGGTAGCAGGTAGTCGACCCGGCTGTAGCCGGGTCGTTGCGCAGTGCGCGGCCGCCCGAAATTGCGAACTTCAAACGTCTGTAACTCCGAAACTAAGTTCGTCCGGCAAAATTTCATCAGCATTAAACGTACTATCGATTAAAAAAAAAAAAATCGAAAAAAAAGGGTGCCCGGTAAAGTACACTTATACCCTATTTTCAAATATAGGAGGTACAGAAATCTATAAATTAATTAAAAAGGTTCTTTTGTTATTTGAGTTCTTTTCCATGTTTGTTTTGTATATGTATTATGTAATCGGAAATAGTCATTAGGTATACTTATGTAATTGTATGTGAATTATAAACAGGTTCGTTCCGACCACAATTTACATTTTTTGCTTTAACCATAAATTAATCATACCGTTTAAAAATATTTCTTTTGCTTCAAATAGAATACAATTAGAGCATGTTGTTTTAATGGTGCGGGTAATTTTTTTTAACGCATTCCTACCCCTCCCCTTCTTCCAATTTTAAATATACAAAATCTAACTAGTTACAATTATTTCTATAAATTGGGTTAAAACGAATATTAGCTTCGGTGCACAGCTGAAAAGGTATTGTTTTTCAAATTATGTTTTATGCTTTTAGTGTCTGGTTGCAAATTACAGCACGCAACAACTTTTTTTGAAAATAGTCGAATTAGTTCCAAAATTTGCATGGAATATCCGAATTTGAATGAAATATTCTATACCCTAAACCCTACCCTTTAGGATTGAAACCTGTCTTTCAC